TGAGTAAGGGATGATTGGGCGGCTATTCTCTGACCGTACGACGTGTTCACTCAAGTACATCCATAAGTACATGTATTTTTATACGGGAAATTGCATTTTTCATGCTCTTTTTTTTTTAATTTTTCCGTACTTTCCCCGCTGTCTAGAAAAAAACGGACTTTACCACGTGATTCTACGGTATAAAATCTATAAGAAACCATTTGTAGTTTTGGTTCCACACCATGAGCGAAAATCGACCTATTTGTAACATCCTCCTTTAATTTCTTTAAGAAATTTCGCTTATCACAATGCACGTTATTAACAATAAATTATTTCTTTCAGGATCGTCAATGCATAGGATTTTTTTAAACAACCCACTTGACCCTCGTGAAGATATTTCGCTGGTGACAGAGTGTTTATCAATGCGCCACGCGGAGACCAGCTGAATTTATATCTCAAAGGATTGTAGGAACATTCCGGCGCTGGCAGACCGCCGCACCATGAGACGAAAGATTCTATCTTGCCGCCTGCTTGTCTGACGTCGTCGAAGCACTCCATCGCCAAGAGATGATCGATCCCCGGGTCTAGCCCAATTTCATTCAGCACGGTAACGTCAGCTTCTTGCGCTCTGTATAACAATGAAGTTGTGGTTCTTTTGAAATTTCAGTTGTAACAAATTTTGCATGTACTTTTCGCAAATTATGATTAGAAAATGCAGCAAAAGCAATTTTTTTTTACTTGGTGCGTGACGTTTTTTATACGACCGTGTCTCTTGATATGTTTTATGGGTTTGTTAACACTTACTCTTCGTGCAGCGCCTTGACATCGTCATTCATATAGCTGGCTGTTACGAGATGCGTTTTAGTCTCGATGCAGGCTTTGGCGATGACGTGATGCAACGAGTACGGTAACAGAGAGACGGCCACGTTCGCCGATTTCATCACGTCGTGCAGAGTGTCCGGACGATCCAGCACGTTCAGAAAGACCGGCTCCACACCCGGAAATCGATTGGCCAGCACGTCAGCTTCGTCTTTCAATTGCGAGGCCACCACTAATCTTATATTCGTATCTCTGTGTAAATATTCTACTAAGGGCGCGGACACGTATCCTGCTCCGAGAACAACTACCTGTTGACGTGTCACAAAAGATAAAATACTATCGATTTCAAAATAGTCACGTAAGTAAATTTTATCATGTTATTACCAGAAATAAAAGCAAACATTGCGCGTTTGCAATAAACGTTCGAGCAAAACAAACGTCACAAAATATTTTATCTAAATTGATATTATTTAATCTTAAAACATGTGAAAAATTATTTGATCGAAAAAAAATCGGTAGGAGGGAATATTTTACCGTTTTACACTGCGGCTCTCCGTTATCGGCTTTATGCTTGCTTCGTTGATTAAGTTGTCTGAGTTCTTGAATGTACTCGAAATTAGGTGTCAATTCTCCGTTGGATGCAATAATAGCGCCGTGAACGGCGGTATTGAAATTGTGCTCCTCTAGCGGCTTTTTTGCATCCGATTGTATGATATCCAAAGCGTAGGGATAGAGAAGATTGCCGAAGAAATCCGTCGATTCCTTCGGGAGTTGCGTAGGCATATTGTCGATCGAACAAACTAGCACACCGGGACCCTTGAAAGACTTCATGTCCTTATTGCGATCGGCGTCATACAGACAGAATGGCGTATCGATTGTCGTACATTCGTTCATAAATCTTGCAAAATGTGCAGAAAATTTGTGCAACAATTAGAACACTTGAACGAAATTGTTAAAAATTAATTGAAAATTAATTTGCGCTTATAAATTTATCTAACAATCGCTTCTTCAAATTCTTATTTCAATTTACAAAAAAATGCGACACTATTTTTTAATATTATGTATAATAAGATATATTATTCTATAATTCTTTTATAATCTTCCAAGTTTTTATATATTTTCTGGAATTTTTTTACGATAAACGCTACACCTACTCGATACTGCCGCCAGGATCCGCGGATATATCGCAGATAGCGAGCATCCTGTGCGGCAAGGCGGGCGCGCCGACGCTTATCGGTAGCCACGGTGTATTCGCCGGTCTGAGCAAGTACTTTGCATCCGGTATCGTCAGCAATTTCGGGGAATCCACCGCCCAGTATATGCCATTGATGATCACCGAGGCGTACGGCGCTATCTTCTTGCTAAAGGTAGAAATGTACAATTCCGGATGCTGATCGTACTCCTCGGGATCAAAACCACCGCCCTCTTTCCGCTCGAGATGATGCCTACGTCGCACCTCGCAACCGTATATTTTTGTCGTATCTGAAGCGAAGAATAAATACGGACGTCGATAAAAGATAAATATTTGTTTGCGCGAGATAAATAGTTCTACTTGTTCTAAATAACGGCAGATTCCACGAGTCTTGCGCAAAGAGTCATTTTTATCGCTCGAGGAATAATACAAAAATGATGAAAGAATTGGAATATATTTGCTTTCAAGCTTTTTAGATTAAAATTGCTAATTACATAAAGTAATATAACTATTGCATAATAAAAATGCTTACTTATTTATCGCAAAACATTGCACAGTTAAAGACTTTCTATGTTAAAAAAAATAAATTGCATTTTAAAACATCGGATCAAAAGAGAGCTGCGCTTCGCGGATCAATTAAAATAATGATAAAGAGAGAAGCATTAAAGCGAATTGCGACACAAATGACGCATATTGATGTGAGATTACATCAACATACCGCCGTGTTCCGCGACCTTCCTCAACATCTCGGGCGGCACGTATTCGTGAGGCAGCTCTTGGAAGACTTCTTGACCTCCTTGACTGACATTACCGCTACCCGTGAAAACGAAAGTCAACGGCCCTATTGACTTCGGCATAGCGCCCAGAGCGATCTCATATCCTGCGCCACGGATCGCCTGGCGTGCCATAGCTGAATCCCGATAGTTGTGCGCCGGTCCGATGTGCTGGTTAAGCAATTAATCCACTTAATACTTGCATGAATTTAAGAATAATTGTTTTAATCTATGTATCACAAATCGTTTCCTGTTATTCCTGTTATAGTAAATAATATTGTCTAACATATACCTTGCAGCAATTGTGACAAGCTCCTGATCTCTCGTGGGTGAATTTGGAAAATGGTTTGATTATTTTTTTTCTGCATTTGAAAATCAAAACTATATAGAAATAATAAAAGTGAATAATTCTTTCTTTACATTTTTGTTCAACCATTTGATTATCATAGAGAAAACAAACAGAACGTTATCAATGCAACGTAAATAAGAATGTGTGTTTCTAAAAATGCAACGAACAACACATGGTATATCCTTATCTTCTGTAATTCTCCTATTTATTTAGCTTTTAATATCACGATATGATAGATTAGAGCTCAAGATTTCGAATGTTTCTTTTTCCGCGCTGTTCGGAATTGAGCGGAATTTCAAATTTAATGAAATATATTCGGATACTTGCAGAGTATCATTAGCGTACCATAAACGGAGTATGATGACCCAACGCCAACAGTCTCAGGCCTAAACCGTGTAATATGTTCACCATACCGGCGACGCCGGCGTATTTGCCGAAAGCGACTACTCGCTGGCCATTGGCGTCCATGAGCTTCTCGTAATCCAGCAGACGTATGTTCTTCTCCAAGATCGCGTCCAGGAGAGGCATATTACTCTCCTGGGCTTTGATGGTGTGCGAAAAGAGGCAGTACGTTTTGTTCGGTATCAGCTGGTCCACGGGCACTTGCTTCACGCCGAAGATGACGGAGGCCGAGCTGATGTCCTCTTGCAGCAAGGCGCCCGCCGCCTGGTAAGCCTGTGCAGGATATGCCCTTCGATTGCTGGGTTGCACAATTACTTTCACCCCCGATCGAACAAGGCGACGAACGTTCGCCGGAGCCAGCGGCGCCCTTCTTTCCCATACCGATTGGTCCTCCCGTCTTATAGCTATCACTTTGCCCTGAAGACTCTAAAAAAATTTTACGCAAAAAAACACTCAGTGCGCTTTACACAAGCAAGTTATTTTATCTCTTTATTTTTGAAGAATTTATTTTATACTTTTACCTAATTGATTTTTGTCACGAAAAATTATCTACGCGATATTTGATACAAAAGGTAACAAAAAAAATCGTAAACAGCTCAATTTAAAATTTAATAACAAACGGCCTACTACCTAGGCTTAATAACAAATCTAAAACAAGATATACGGGTGTTTCATAATGTCCGTGCCAGCGCTCGTGTGCGGGTAGAATGCGGTAAACTGAATAGAAAAGTCCTGTACCATTTTGCAATTTTTGCAATAATAATTGAGATATTAATTAAAAAGGATTGACGAATAATCGCGCGTTGCACGCGGCTAGACCATGGGCTGTACACTCTAGGCGTGACAGCAACGAGGATCACACGGCAACAAAAAATAACAACATGTATTACTCTTGCTCTTGCCATGCGTTGTTATTTTTCGTTGCCGTGTGATCCTCGTTGCTGTCACGCCTAGAGTGTACAGCCCATGGTCTAGCCGCGTGCAACGCGCGATTATTCGTCAATCCTTTTTAATTAATATCTCAATTATTATTGCAAAAATTGCAAAACGATAAAGGACTTTTCTATTCAGTTTACCGCACTCTACCCACACACGAGTGTTGGCACGGACATTATGAAACACCCTGTATGTCAATCGCTCAATTTACATTTCTCGAGCGATATTAGTATTTTTTTATTTAAATTAACAATCTTTACGCTTTCACCATCGATTTTATTGTATTTTGAATATTAGATTTTTATTGACGCCTAATGTATACTGAAGGTGATTGAATAATCAACCGAAACATTTATATTCTTTATTTACATTTTCAAAAATAGTTGTATAAATAGAAGAAAGATTGACTGTTATGAAATAACAAAACAAGTTTAAAGAATTCTTAAATTAGAAGATTTCGAAAATTAATAATTCAGCTTGCGGAATAATTTCCTATTAACTTCTTCCAATTTTTACTTATTTTTCAGAATGCTAGAATCAGCAATGCCGGCGTGATATCAATTAAGCGGATCGACACCAAGAACCGAGATTACACAGAAGACACATTACTTTGAATGTAACTTTGCTTACACTTATACATTTCACGCTACGAATGACAACACAAGTCGCACTGGTCAGCAGATGACGTGATTCACGTCGTCCAGCTCTGATCAAGGCTAAAATCCGCATTACACCTTCGTCGAAACTGATTCAGCGGCAGTGTAAAGGTCGCCGAGGAGGAGATCCGAGAGAGAAGTTCACCGGTTGAAACCGATTCACGGTGGTGGCGTCGACTGGAACAATGCGGCTTCTCGGCGTAATCGCGCGTGTACGTTTCGAAACCGTTTTCTGTGTGTTTTGAACCGACTCCGTTATACTATTGTCACGGATCGTTGGAAATGTCGGAAAGTATTACAAAATCGCTGATAAACTCGGAGCTACCGGAACCCTTATCGGCATCGCGTAACCTTCTGACCGTTACGCCGGCCGTATACCGCTGAAAAGAAACTTACGATCCAATCCCGGAAAAATGTTTCCTTTCACGCGCGCGCATTTATCAATTGCACTGACGCGATAATCGAGATGACGACGTGCGCTGAAAACGCGGACACGCGCTGAGAACAAAACGTAATTGCAAACAACACGCGCTTGACGCACGTATGTCGTCAAGTGTTTGGTAGCGCCTGATATCTGATCACCTTATCCGAGGTCATGAAGTCAAATTAAGACATCGGGATGCAATTTTACAAAATTTTAATGTATAAAGATGCTTGGTACACACACACATTTAATTTATAGAAAATCTTATTACGTAAAGTAACAATACTATAAGATTTCTGATGTGCTAAAAAAATCATAATTATAACAATCAACCATCTTGGGAACTACTTATACAAACGAGGGTCAATTAGATTGCGCTTTAATCGATAAGTACATCTTGCTCTTAATAGTTTGCTTGGTTGGATTTATCTTCTTTAATATCTGCGTCATAATGTTGACAAGCTGATCGGACGTGAGACCAGTCTTCTTAGATTTGAATTTCTGCAGCAACTCGGTGGTGGTCATGGGTTTGCGCATTAGATATCGTCTCACTGCATCCTCCGTAATACCCGATTCGCTGAAAAATACAAAACACGTGATAAACGTCATTAACGTTGCGTGTTTATTACTTGATGCGAAGACAAAGACGCACTTTGCTCCCGATATGTACGTCGTTGCTGGAACCAGATTGAAGTTATCCAATTTCAATTTCTTCGCCTGTGACAAATCTGGAGATCTGGTTTGTTTTCTTTTCAGAGAATCCGAGACCCCGGATGCTGCGGGCGTTGGCGTCGCGGATCTAGAGCTGTGTGCGCTATTAGGTTTCTTGTTATCTTTCTCTTTCAAGGCTGAATCCGAATCAGACTCCGAATCGCTTGAGAAATCACTCGAGGAATCCTTCCCCGATGCTGACTTTTTCTGATCCTTCTTCTTCGCCTTTTTCTTCTTCTTTTTATCTTTTCTCTTATCCGCTTCTTTACCAAGTTTGTCTTTATCCTGAAACGATTCCATATATTTCATTATAATATAACTGTTTATCGATATAGGCCATAAAAATTATGTGTTTCGTTACTTTATCATCCTTTTCCTTTCCTTCCTCGTCTTCGTCTTTGTCTTCTTCACCCTCCTTCTTATCTGTTTGTTCTTCATCTTCCTCGTCTTCGTCAGATGCGAGTAATTTTCTCAATGCATCTTCTTCTGCGACGGACTTGATTTCCTTTTGGTCTTCCAGCTCGGATTCGGGATCAGAAGAGTCGGAAATATAATCGCATTCCCTTCCCTCCTCATCACCGTCGTCGCTTTCCTCAAACGCTTCATCATCTGAAGCATTCTTCTTCTTTTTCTTTTTTTGCAGTTGAACTAGAATATTTCATTAAAATTTTTAACGCATTTGTTAATTATCTATACAATTGTCAATTATTTTCTTAGTAATAATCTCAATAATTAATGATAATTATTTCGTTTATTACCTTTGCCCTTCTTTGCCTTTTTTCCATCATCTTCATCTTCAGATACTTTTTTATTTTCCTCCTCACCACTGTCAGAATCATCATCATCACTGTCCATCCACTCATCCATTTCTGATATTTTCAGTTCCTTCTCCTTTTTGCCTGGCCTCTTACCCTTACCAACTTCTAATTCCTCATCATCTCCACCATCCTCGTCATTTCTCAATCTCTTGCGCAACATTAGTGAAAAATAATTCATCACCTTATTTCTACGACTAAATTCCTGCTCTGCTTCTTCAGCGCTGAGAGCTTTGTATCTCTGGATTGGCTGAAAGTTATACCTATGTACAGAAGTTTCATATTTTTATAATTATCTATAAAACAATCAACAGTATCGGAAACTTACCATTCGTGTAAAGGAAATGCTTCTATGGCACCATCAGCAGCATGCGTGAAAACATAATATGCTGCGTTTTCGCTGACTCCTCCTTCTCGTATACCTTTGAATTTTTTTCCAGTCTTCCCTCCCGACTTCAAAATCCATGGTTGATCCTCAGGTTTATACTTCCTACTGGTAATACCATACTTCTTTCTTCTAGCCTCTTCTCTAGCATCACGTCCAAATTCTGAACCAGCACCAAATTTAGGCATTTCTTCCTCCAAACCCTTGTATTCTTTCATATTGTTTTCTCGTTCCATTTTCACTTGGGTCCATTTTGAAAAATCTACATTCAGTGTCGCATTGAATCTCATAACATTGTGTTTCTTCTTGCTGTTTCTAAAAGTTTGATCAATTATTTTCAAGTGAAAATTTGTTACAATAATATGAATTAAAGAGAGATAAATATAAGTAATACTAACTTCGGTACTCTAATACTGAATTCCTGCACAGATGGTGCAACTGGAGGCTAAAAATAAAAAAATTACATCATATAATATTGTAATATAAAAATAGCATAATCCTGTCTTTTAGGAAACGTATATTAATGTGAATATATTTTAATAATGCATTCTTTTTAATAAAGTTATATAAATATAACCTACAAATGCAATTGTAATTACTATCTATTATATATACCTTTGAAACTGTATTTGCATTCATGTTCTAATAAAATAAAAACTTTTGCACAATGTAGGGTCACAATTTAAAACTGTATTTATAATTTAAAAGAATGTATTTCCAATCTGTTAGTTCTGTTTTAACATAACATCTAATATAACCTAACCAAATACCGCTCTATCACTGCTACTGAACTGCTATCTGCTATCCAGTCATTGTACTTTGTAGGACAACATCAAGATTAGAGGATGCGCAACGGCCAGAAAACGCCTAATCGCGTCCTTCAATTTTTACTTTTATTTATATTATTTATTATATTTTTATTTTTATTTATATTATTTATTTTTATTTATGAAAACAGCTAAAGCGCTATTATATGATGTAACTCGAAAACTCAAAAAATTCTAACCAAGATCAAATAGTTTGAGTGTTGGCTAAAATGGTTTGAGTCTTGGCTAAATCAATATTTCTAAATTTGTGCAAATAAAAAAATCGGGATTTTGTTATAGAATATAATCTTCTAATATGTATCGCAATCGCTATTTGAGAATTAATACGGTAAAAAGTACGATATAAAGAAACTTTTGCTGCTCTGGTAAGATAATAACACGCAGAGCACGTACGCCGTGATGTAAACAAGATTCAAAAACAAACCCTAACACTACATGTGAGTAATTTCGGTATTAGCGTCGAAGATTGTTTTTCGTAATCTAAGACGCGTGCGCGCGCTGTTGTCTTGCGTACTTATTGTCCTTGCGTGTAATAATTTGCTCACATTCGCACGACGACACTCGCGCGGAGCACACGGCAGCGGAAATAACTCTGTATTTTCCTTATCGCATTGTTTTCCAAATCGTAATTGCAATTGATATTAAAAGATTATTTTCTACAAACAGTTGCCGATTTATACTATTTCTCATCTGCGGAAATCACGGAAATTTTGTAAAAGGTAATTTAGGTATATCATAGCCAAGACGAATGGTAGCAAAATTGACTGCGCAATTTTTGATATCTTTCTATCGTTGTTGCGTGCTGTGAGAATGAAACGGATCATAGTTTCATGCGATCGCGCTTTCCTTTGTCATATCACGATAAAGGAAAATTCGAAAAATACGCGATTGTATAAAACTATAATTTATTTGATTTTCACAGCAGGCAACGACAGCAGAGAGAAATCGAAAATTGCGCAGTCAATTTTGCTTACCACCCGTCGCAGCTATGCTATGCCTAAACCACTTTCGCAAGTTTTTCGCGCTTTCCATACATGAGATATAATATAAATCGACAATTATTTGTAGGAAAATTTGTAGGATAATCTAATATCTGTTGTGATTGCGAGGAATAATACGGTAAGGAGAATATTAAAAAAAAAGTTTTTGCTTGCTCTGTGACGTATTCGAATAGGAATGTGAGTAAGGTGATAGTGCGCAAGACAACATACGCGGCGTCGTAGATCACGAAAAACAAAAACAATCCCCGACATCGCGAGCTAGCATCGAAATGCTTTGGCGCGTGTCGTCAAAGATAGTTTTGTTTCTTGCGATTTACATTGCGGTGCATCCTTAGCGCGTTATAACCTTGTTATCATTCGCACAAGGACACTGAACCAGAGCAGACGGCAATGAGTCTTTTCGTATCTCCTTATTGTATTAATTTTCAAATAAAGACACATATTAAAGATTATTCCTTACAACTAATTACTAATTTGTATTAATTCTTATGTGCGAAAAACACGAAAAGTAGTTTATATGTAACATAGTCGCGACGGATAAAGCGAAAAGTTAATTACGCAATTTTCAATTTCTCTTCTCTGCTGTTGCTTCTGCTATATATCGAATTGTAGCCTCGTGCGATTGCGTTTTTCGAGTTTACCTTTGTTATCATGACAAAGATCGTTTGTAATTAACCGTGTTTTCGCGAGTAAATGCTCTAAAAAGGAGCAGCCATCGATGACAATTGAGAGGAGGAGGAGGCCTAGGAGGCATCAGGCGACGGCAGAACAACGTTGTGGTAAGTAATTTATCGTTAAAAATGTTATTTTTTTAAAATAATAGTGCAGAGGCTGGTTTAAAACACCAGTATTGTTTCAATCAAAGAGCTATTTTGATTAAAATAAAAGATAGAATTATGTATCCATATTACACACAGAATGATCACAATATGATGTAATAAAGCTTCAGAGGCTTAAGTGAATAATACAATTATATTCCTTAATTTATTTAAAAAAAATTTGAGTTAAATTTAAATTTAAAAATTTAATTTTTTGTTTAGACGTGTGAATAAATAAATTAATATAAAGTTTAATGTACGCAGTAATTATTTTATAAATATTAATTATTTCAAACACTAATCTGCATTTATTTTTTTATTTTACAGATCAATTTTGTGCGCGTAATCGCTGCTACAAAATATATTCGTTCCGTCGTATAATATAACAAAATGCGCGTCGGGAGTGCCGTTAATGCCGAGAGTTATAGCGAATCTATAGATAAACGCATTTTTGCTATATGACAAATATTGGGACACGATTTTTTTTTTACTTTAGGCTTGGCTCGGGGGAGAGAAAGGTCGGTTTCAATCATAAAATCTCGACTACGGCAAAGGCATCTTCGGTTCTACATGAAAGCCAACCGATTGCTTTTCAGATGCCTTGTATCTAGTCGGTTGATTGGGTGACTAATCGCACCTCATCTTCTTCGAGCTTACCTTTGCCCTCTGTTTTGAGAAAATCGTGCCTCAATTGGTAAATGCGGTTGTGTGAAACGCGGACGGAATTCACGCGTAACGCTGTTTGGACAATTCGGTTCGATTCGCTTGCGACGTCGGAAGTGTCGTTTAATGTGAGTCGCGCGATTTTTCGTATTCGGACACGCACGCGAGCAAGGCGTGCGCCGCGAACGCGTGTGATTCAGTGTGAGTACTTCGAAGGACCACTGACAATGAGAGGAGGAGGAGGCTCAGGAGGATCCATCGGGCGCTGGCGGAGCAACTCTACGGTAAACAATAATTCATTCATTCGTTGAAAATGTTGTAAATATTTATTAGTTTGAATGCAACTATAATTTTGATTTATTTTCATTATTTTACAGATCAACAGAACGACAACTCCACTGCTGCGCATTGATTGGTGAGCCCAA